CGGCCGCCGTCACAATGTGCGCGCCGCCATTGGCCGCGCCGACGGGCGCACCACCTGCCGCTGGGCCTGCGCCGGCCGGTGCGACGTGCGCGGGCGCCGAAGCGACCGACGCGGGCAGCTGCGGCGGCGCCGGCGTGGCGAGCGGCAGCGGCAGCACGCGCCCCTCCTCGGCCGACAGCACGAGGCAGAACTTGATCGTAGTCCTGGCCTTGCAAAACTGGTCGAGGTAGTTGATCTTCTGCACGGTGGGATGCGCCTCGAACGCGGCGACGAGCGAGTAGCCGCCCTTGTACTGCTTGACGAGCTCGTTGATCTGGCGCAAGTTGGGCGGTGCACCTGCGTGCGGTGGCGGAGCGCCTAGACTCGAGTCCTGGAGCGCCGGAAAGGTGGCGCACAGGTCGCTGCCTGCAAGCAGACCGACGTCGAGGAACTGCTCCTCGTTGCACCTGAGCTCGTTGAGGATACCCTGCTTGCTCACAAACTGGAACGTCGACTCGGCGAGGTTGAGCGAGGTGATGAGGCGATCGACGCGGTCAAATAGAAGAATCTCGGACGCGCCGTAGACCGAGTGGACGTACGCCTTGGAGTGGCGTTCCAGCGAGACAAGCTGGCCGGAGGCGAGGTAGGGCGCGATGAGGAACTCGACGTTTCGATGGCGGAAGGCGCGCAGGATGAGGCGGTAGAGGTCCGGATGGTGGATCGAGTTGCTGGCGGAGAGGAGCGAGTGTGTGGCGTCGACGTCGCCGTTCTCGTACGCCTCCCAGGCGCGATGGCGCTGCTTGACCTTGGGGTCCTCGTAGGAGAAGGGGCGTGCGCGCTTGTTGGGCGGGATGCCGTTGAGCACGAATACGGGCTTGATGCGCGCCTTTTCGAGCGCACGCAGGTCGTTTTCGATGTGTGAGATGAGCGCGATGGGTGCGCCTCCGAGCGCGGCGACGAGCGGTTCGGACGTGGATGGCGACGAGAGCAGCTGCTTGAGGTAGAAGGAGACGTCGATGCCGAGGCGCGTGTCCTTGAGCGCCGAGAGCGGACACGTCTGCGTGAGACCGCGGTCGTGGAGGTACGCCTGAAGACCGCGAATCATGGCGGCGAGGTGTTGCAAAGTCGTTGCAAAGTGGTCGGGCTAGAATGACGAAGAGCGCAGCGGTGGAGAGCGGGAGGAAAGGTTGAGAATGCAACACCTCCCTCGACAGCTTCCACGCTTCCACCCTCTTTCTTGCTCGCTCGCTCTCTCTCTCTCGCGCTCGCCTCGACTCCCTGCCTCGGCCAGCCGGCCGTGCGCACGCAGCCAGCAGAGAGAGCTCTAAATCGCGTCCTCCGCATCACCGATCGGCTGCCCATCTCGTGCGATTGGCCATTTTGCGATCTAACACTTTGTCTCGCCGCCAACAACCTCGGTGACTTGGTCGGCGTCAACGGTGCGTGATGCTGTCGGCTCCCCCGCTCCCGTCACGCTCGGCGCATTTGTGCTCAAGCCAGCACCTTTTGTCGGCACGCATCGTGAGGATCTACTACCATTCACTTCATCTCGGCACCATGTCCAACCGCATCCAGATCGCCATCGACCGAGGCGGCACCTTCACCGACTGCCTCGGCCGCATCCCACCCACCAAGCAAGGCGAGGCCCCCACCGACATTGTCATCAAGCTGCTCTCCCACGACCCGGCCAACTACAACGACGCACCCACCGAAGGCGTCCGTCGCATCCTCGAGCGCGCCTACGACGTCTCCATCCCGCGCGGCCAAAAGATCGACACCTCCAACATCGAATACATCCGCCTCTCCACCACCGTCGCCACCAATGCGCTGCTCGAACGCAAGGGCGAGCGCCATGCGCTCGTCATCACCAAGGGCTTCAAGGACCTGGTGCAAATCGGCAACCAGAGCAGACCCAGCATCTTCGACCTCGCCATCAAGAAGCCCGAGGTGCTCTACAGCGGCGTGCTCGAGCTCGACGAGCGCGTCACGCTCGTCGGCTACACCTCGGACCCCAACGCTGCCGACAACGCCGTCCAGTTTCACGAGGCCAACGGCGACGACCCGCACAGCACACAAATCTCCAGGCCGTATGCAGGGACTGACCAGCCTCCGAGCGCGTACGACGAGCACGGCAAGCGCACGGGCGCGCCCGAGATCGTGCGCGGCGTCTCGGGCGAGGCGGTGGCCATCCTCAAGAAGCCAGACGAAGCTCTGCTGCGACGCCAGCTGCATGCGCTCTACCACGACCATGGTTACCGCTCGCTCGCCGTCGTTCTCATGCACAGCTACACGTATCCGGTGCATGAACAGGTCGTACGCCGCATCGCACTCGAAGTCGGCTTCCACACCGTCAGCTGCTCGAGCGAGCTCATGCCCATGATCAAGATGGTGCCGCGCGCCACCTCGGCCACTGCCGACGCCTACCTCACGCCCGTGCTCCAGGCGTACATCGACGGCTTCTTTGCCGGCTTTGCCCCCACCCTCCGCTCCGGCGAGGCGGGCACCAAGGTCGAGTTTATGATGTCCGACGGCGGCCTCACCTCGGTCGACCACTTTTCGGGCCTCAAGTCGATCATCTCTGGTCCGGCGGGTGGCGTAGTCGGCATGGCGCTCACGAGTTACGACGCCGAGGATGGGCGTCCGATCATCGGCTTCGATATGGGCGGTACCTCGACCGACGTGAGCCGGTATGCGGGCGAGTACGAGCAGGTGCTCGAGACCACGCTCGACGGCATCACCGTGCAGAGTGCGCAGCTCGACGTCAACACGGTGGCGAGCGGCGGGAGCAGTCGGCTCTTCTTTCGCAATGGCCTCTTTGCCGTAGGTCCGGAGTCGGCATCTGCACATCCGGGTCCCACGTGCTATCGCAAGGGCGGACCTCTCGCCATTACCGATGCGAACCTCGTCACGGGTCGCCTGGCAGTGGAGATGTTCCCCAAGATCTTTGGGCCGAACGAGGACCAAGGGCTGGACGAGACCGCGAGTCGGCAGGCGTTTGAAGCGCTCGCGGACGAGATCAACGCCCACACGGCCGGTACGCCGCTGTCGGTGGACGAGGTGGCGCAGGGCTTCATCCGCGTTGCGAACGAGATCATGGCGCGTCCTATTCGAGCTCTGACCGAAGCGCGTGGGTATAGTGCATCGAAGCATGTGCTTGCGAGTTTTGGCGGTGCAGGAGGGCAGCATGCCTGTTCTCTCGCGCGCTCACTCGGCATCGAGACCGTGGTGATCCATCGGT